GATGGTAATGAGTGGATAGTGTTGTGATGGTAATGAGTGGATAGTGTTGTGATGGTAATCTACTTATTCACGATAAACTCGTCAAACATGCAGCATTTGCTCGTGCACTTGTACGTGGTTGAAGCTGCCCATATGAATATATGCAATCACTGTGGTCAAGGTGATCTACACGTGGTGGTGTTGTTTTTAGTGCAATCCAGTCACATGGGTGAAAAACGTCTATAAAGCAGAATGTATATGTTAAACACAAAGAGTGTGTCAACTTGCAATCAGGTGTAAAGCACCTTCAATCAAGGCCCTCCTATATTTCTTTAACCCTAACCCCAAGGGTGTATGTAAAATCATATTGAAATCGAAGGATTTGGGATTGTTTGGGCCTTCTTTGCGAAGGGCTCCAATAGAATTTGTTCATGGCCTTCCAATCACCAACTCTCACCCAACCACGGATCCCATGATCCCTACTGTTCAAAGCTAACAATTTCAGAATGCATGCACATGTATATACATTCAAAGTTATGCAAAGGACACTGTAAAGGTCAGGGTGTGTTAACAAGCTAAAAACCATACACATGGCACTTGCTGTCCAAGCAGGCAAGCATGAGGTTAGTTTTTAGAAACAGGATAAATTAGTGATCAGTGTTGTTCAAAACTGACCATTGGAGACGAACATTCCTGGAAAGAATGGTTGATCCTCCATGATGTAGCCATGCCGGAAGCTGATTGGTCCCTCATGGATGCTGAGGTAATGCCCGACACCACTACCAGTCTCATGTTCATAGTCCAGACCGATTTCCCAAAGACGGGCACGTGCAATGGCGTCAAGGTCACGGCCTGCATCGACCATGAAGTCATATTACCGAGCAGTAAGTAATCATCAAACATGTGCAATCAATTCTGTGGCCGGAGATGAAGCTGAAGTTTTGAGAAAAGTTCAACATATCCAAGCGGAAGACTATACACATGAGAAGACACTTACCATACACATCGGTGCGAATGATCGTTGTAGCAAGATCGATGTGGCCCATCAGGATTCTTGTATATGCATCCTAAAACAAGACAAACGCAAGTTAACCAACTAAATCAAGACAGCTTGATTCCATGGGCCAATAACAAAATAAAGAATTCCACATTACAAGTGAAGGTTTACATTCTGGAATAATAGATTGTCTTTTTTAAAATACTGGGCAAAATGTTACAAAACGTTTCAGAAAAAACTGATTTTCATATCTTCAAATAAAGTTAAACCTTGAAAACTGTCGGATGTTTGTCCATGAATCTCTTTTGAGAAGGTGGCTTCTTTTGTAACGATTGTCAGGAAGAAAAATGTGACCTCTGGAAAACTGGAAAACTCTTGAAGAATTTCCTCGGTGCTTCCATGAGAGAAAAAAAGTTAGGCGGTAAGCTGCTAAGCCTACCTTCATAAACTGAGTTGGCGTTCCAAAATGGAATGTTCTGGCAATCCGTGTTGTGCCATCACTAAATAAGAATAAAAAAGATGTTTAAGTTACATTGATAAGCTAAAGTACGGAAAACAAATATGTCTGCTCTATGGCTTACTCATTAGGTCAAAGGGCGCAACCAGTCTTCAACCAAATGAGTACAAGCCCTTGAACTTTTGAGAGGCATGCCCCTCAACATGGCTGCCCTACAAGTGAGAAACTAACCTGCAAAGGGAAAAAAGCAACTTACTAGTACTGAGCTCCAGAGTCGATGACCAAGGGATACTGGTAGGTAATGGCTTGGTTAGAGGCGTCTGAGACACTGTCAAGAAATTGAGACAACAATTGGTAAAAAAGGATGCCTCAACCACATGAAATTATACGTTAACGCTCCTATGCAAAGACACATTCTTGACACAGTTGTCCTATCAGTCAAAACCAGTCAAATTTCCCATATGTGTCTGTGTACTGGGGGAAATCCAGTGGAAGGAATTTTGGACTGTTTTTGACAGTTACAGCAAAAGGAGGGTTAAAACAAATATTACTCATCAACACTTTAACCAAAGCAACGGTTGTGATGTACCAATCTTTTCATGGTAATGCTAAACATGGGAAGGCACTGTGTTCATCTTCTAAAAATTGCACCAGTGAAGTTGGGAGAAATTTGATGAATGCCTGGTAAAGTGGTGATTTCTCTGATTGTGCCATGATTTGGAACCAATCACCGTGGACAAGCAAACAGACATTTACCTTCTCATGAAACACACAAGGATTAGTTTATCCACAGGAATAGTCTTGATTGCCTGAAAGTGTCATACTACCCAAAGTCATTCGCTGGAAAAGCTGTGGTTCAGGGTTTAATTCTAGGCCCAGGCTAGGCAGGGAATGAGACCTTCCAAAGGAGATGTCCTGGAATATACTCACTTGTATTCGACCACTGCTCCGTTATACCCAAAGCCAACGATGGGATAGTAACTGGGCATGACATAGCCAACCTGTCGTCTAGAAAAACATACAGAAAGCCACAGCAACGTATCAAGTCAGGCTTTGTCCAATTCAGATGGCTGTGGCGAGATGTAATGCACACATCTTTGGGAAGTGGCTTCGACTGTTAGTCAATGGCTTATACTGGTGTACATGTTAACTTTCAGCCGCAGCCATAACATACTGATGTGGCTAAATGCCCAATGTTACCATTACTGACATGGCATTGCATTGCCAACATCAAGTTGGAATTCAAAATACATCCAGAGGCAATACAGAGGTCACTGCAACCACTGGACAAATGTGACCACTTGGACCACTTGGAACACTTACTTGCGGAATTCAATCGACTGCTCTGCAACCAATTTCTCGCTCAGCCGGTCAATCTGGCCAGTGTTTGGGTTCTGCATTTGGTGAGGGCAAACACAGAAAATTCTTACGAGTAGCACCAATTTCAGACGTTGGATCCAAAATGGCTGTTTCATTATGCGTGCAGTACAACATGCAGCTACTGCATGCTGATTGTCCATGTGCACCGACGCATAATCCACCATTTTGGTTCCAGCAATTGAGGCACTCATGTCACAATTCTCTCCATAAACAGCTCTGTGCCTGGTGTACCAGACAGCTCAAACATAACCTATCCAACACGTGCTGAGGACCAATTTTAAACCAAGCTTTGACTAATCTTCAAACGTGCTCAACTAATCTTCCAGGAGGGGGTGTCTGAAAAACTGACGGCCGGGACAGGTGTGAGGGGGGAAAATAACAGAACTTACGTTGTTTGATCGCAGTCTCTCTTCAATCCATGCCGCTAGCTCACAAACTGCGGCAGAGTCACGAAGCTGTGGTAAGAGGCAAGCACATGTTGCACATTACAAATGTTAACAATTCCAACACCGACCCTCTCATGTAAGAGTAAACCTACTCTATCAATAGACACAACCAAACCACAACGCGAGATCGAAACAGATTTTGAAAGAATGACATTTCAAAAGCAAGAACTATATTTCCCTTTGAACCCAAATCATTTCAAACTTTTTTTTTACTTTTTATTTTCACTTTCTATGTTCACTGAAATCCTCTTACGTGAGAGTCGCATTGATTTTAAAGCTCTGGAAAGGTTACTCCAAGGATAATTTTTTTCCCTCAGCATTAACAGATTTCCCACATCAAATCACAGGCTAAACGTGACAGGAACAGTGCGAGTGGGTCTGAAGTACATGGTCAAGTGTGCAATTCAAATTGACTATTCTCACCACCTGATGTGAAACGACAGACTTACGTTTGCCTGGATCATTCCTTCTATCTCTTTGTCGTTCTTGATCGCTTTCAGATGTTGGATGATAGAGGGTGACACAACACGCTTTTCCTGTGTCAAAGTAAAGAACAGTGATATACACTCAGCGTAGGAATCGTTGAGGGCGCTCTCTGACTCAAGCATGTGAGGCACATGAGGGCAATCTGGGCATTACACCAGTCTACAGCCAAAATGCTTCACAAATAAATGGAGTCACACTTTACTAATTCTGGGCCACTGATACTGGAAAAATGCTTAATACTTTAATTTGTCAGTATCTACATTTGTAAACGCATAGGAAAGACCTAAGTTGTGATTGTGATTCAAATCTGCTAAGTACGCCATATTCAGAGTAGGTAAAAATGTTAACTTGAATATCTTGGAATCAGTAGCCAATCAGCACATTCAACACATCAATACCCAAAGCGAAAAGCAAATTTTATATCCAAAGCCGCCAACTTTTAAGAACATGTTGACCAACAATGGTATACAACATTTATCCTTATGAACCAGTCAAGAACAGAATACATCCCAGAATGATGGTTTAACTATTGAGCATTTCTTTACTAAGCAGATATACAACGTGGTTAGCGTTATTTCTATGACTAGCTGGTTCATGAAGCAGGCCTCAACCTTAAGCTTCTGAGGGTCAAGGCTACTTGGCCTTGAATGCTCCCAAAAACCAAAGGGCATCAAGGCCAACTGAATGGGCACCAAGGCCAAGTTGAAACTTTTACGTATCATGCTTGTTGGTGACTTCGACAGACTTTCCTTCGATTTCAACACGATGTTAAATTTTCAACCTGCAATTTTCATTGTTTCTGTTCACATGCTGAGCAGTCTGCTTGAATTGTAAATATAAAAACTAATAATACTGTACTAACTTTTAATTTCCCATGTGGTGTTGTGTTTTATTACTTTTCATGATGCCATAAAGGCAACACTGTATTTCAAAAATTAGTTACATGTAATTACTCACAAACAATGCATTTCAAACAAAGTCGGTTTCTGGGTCACAAACATTTATCCAATAGAAGCCCACTGTCATGCCCAGCGCCCGCATGAATACCAGTAAAATAGCGAGGAAAAAAATAGACTGGGTCGTACTCCGATCCACAATTCCCCCAAAATAGTGCAATGTACAGAATCCAATTGGTGCAGAATGTGTAATTCTGTGCCGCGACTTGTAACCAGTCTATGTATAAAAGTGGTCTGGTGCCACGTTTTTAGAGTCACACAAGTCAACTACATTGATATGGTTGCCATACCATGTTGTCTACAGGGCGATGCAAAACCAGTCCGTGAAAAAATATAGTACTCGTTGTGGCTGGCTGGCTGTTGACAGAAATGCTAGCGCTGAACAGTAACTTGAAAGTTGAATACAACTTTAAATACACGTAGGCCTACTGATCACTGAAGAGGGACACGTTGGCCAAGTGGCTGAAAGGTACGCGCTATTTTTAAAGGGCATCACGGCAATTCACTGGGGCATCGCGGCAGTGGCCGATGGTGGCCACTGTAAAGATCGAAGCCTGATGAAGTCAGCCCCTGACTTTGATGGACCAGTCCCTGGTTTCTCTTTCTCAAAACCCACCTCGTCGATTTCATACAGGTAGCCAATGCTGGTGTCGTTTCCAACCCAGATTTTCTTGATGGAGCCTTGGCTGTTGGTGTTCTGCAAATCTGTCATGAAGTTCCTGTAGTCGTACACCTTGATGCACAGCGGTAACTCCGTTTCTGTAGAAAGGACACCGACGAAGAGAAAAGTACGCTTGTACAGGAAAATCTTCCTTCAAAAGGGTTCTGCGTCATAAACGGTTGTGCTATTAAAACAGCAAGTTACGAAGTTTTAGCAACTTACTCCAAGCCCTTCTCAAGGGAAGCTGAAACACGTTTTTTCCATTCAGACACTTGCTATGAGTTTCTCAATTCATGGCGACATTGAAAAGTTATTGAGTCAATACGGTCCTTCATTTTGAGAAAATCCGAGACAGCTATAAATCGCTCTCCTCTAACCTCTCAGGAGAACAAATCAGTCTCCTTAAAATAAACCTATAAACAGAAGTGCAAAACGAGGTCAAATGATAGTTAGTACTATGTTTTCATGACGACCAAAAGCTCACGGCACACTGCTTTCTACTTAAGCGCCTGGTAAAGAAGAACGATACTGATTGGCTCACTTGTCACTGAAACTTTTTACTGACCAATAAAAACATGTAACAGAATGTATTACATACAGCAAAACTGCCCGGGACATACTGATGTACATTGTACATGTGCATGCCGGCTGGCCGGTCGGAAAGCTGGCCACGCTCGCGATGATCATATTCATACAATAATTATAGGCCTACGCAGTGGGATAAATGTGAAATCTTTCAGTTAGCGATGAACTCCACAGTCCTTTTTGGCGATGTTTTCCACTGTTTTTGTCATGTCGTCGTTATTTGTAAAGTGCGCTTAGATTTCTTGTGGAGCGCAATTTTTTACGTTCCTTTAGGACAGTTGAGGAGCAGGGTAGGAGCGCCTGCGTGATCTGGTCAATAGCAATAAATCAAGAAAAACATCCATCCTAGCAAAGTATCCATCTCCAAAACTCCACGCCCCTCTGACCCCTGCAGTGTACCTATCTCTGGGCACCCATAGGCCGTTCCAATCTTAAGATGTTCTTTGATGAGGCTGGTCAGACGCCGCGTAGCATCATGCAAATACAGTCTGCAAAGCATGCACAAAAAAGACCCGTAAAGTATCCATTTACTGACTTCGTACACAGCAAAATTTGGTGTCTATTTCACGTTGTTTTTTTATTAGTATTTGGGTCATTCTATAAATTCAGGGTCCAAAAGTGTGACATTTTTGCTTTGCTTCCCTGTTACACCTGACTAGTACAATTTGACATGGAAATATCACTGAAATTGATTTCAAGTAATGTGCATTAATTCATTACTCTTGGAAAGTAGACACAGTGTTTTGAACTTCGAAAATCACACGTTAGATGTAACAGGGACACAAAAAATTGGACCCCAAATTTACAGAATGACCTATTTCTAAAATTTGTGACAAATGAAAAGAGAATTATAAGCTTGTATGAACTCACTTGATTTGTTTTTCGGTGATGATTGCAAATGACATGAACAGTGGGTTGAACTGGATATCGTTTCCTCTCAAGTTGAACAACCCTAGGATTGAAACAAAAAATTCATAATAAATTAGTACAAAACAGAGAACAGATTCCCCTTATTCGCATGGAGGACATTTTGATCTTGTTCCCCAAATCTGTTTTACATATTGTAAACTGTCGATTAGGATGGCACCAGATTGTTTTATACTTCCGTGCTTTCCAAGCCTCCCTTCCAATAATTTTTGGAATCTGGCAAGCTACAATTCTGTGTGTTCAATTATGAATTTGAAATTATTAATTGGAGTACAGACAGGTGCAAATTGGTCATGACATTTCATTTGATTGCTTCATTTGTACTCTCAACATTCAAAAATGAAGAGTTAACCTCGCTTTCAAATTCAATATGGCCGGCCCCGTGAATAAAGTCTACAGATCCACAAACAACAGCATCAAATTAGTACTTGTTTGCTTACAGAAATATTAAGCTTGCTGTTTGTTATTAATGTTTATTCAAATGCAGATCAATATCACTTTGTGAGCTGGAGCAAGATCTTTGACCACACTCACAGCTTTGCTAGGGATTATTTGAAATACTAGTGAATGTGTGGCTTACATGCGACTTCGTCCAGTTGGGTGATGATAACAGCATCAATTTTCTGGTCTTTCATCATGTCTCTAAGGTTCTTCTTGCCGTCTTTGCGGTAAATCTTGTCCTCCCATGCCTCTCCTGAAACGAAAAGAAAACCCCAAAGATTTCCACCAAAATCAGAGGTGCATCATTAACATCAATGCACAATTTACCACATCTTGTGTGGACGACTGATATACAAATCTATGAACTACAACATCTGTCTCAGGCTCAGAACCACTTAGACACATTTCATATTTTAAAACATTTCACTTGAAAAATCATTTTTCGCATAATGATTTGACATTTCTGTAACAGATAATGGGCCGATATTGAGCCAAGGTACCAAAAAGTGAGGCTTTCAAATGCTGTTGCCAAAGCGAAGTTGGAGGTGGAGCCCAGACTTGGCAACATGAGAGGTACTGTGGGAAAGACCAGCAGGGTTCTTAAATCCCTTTGAACCGACCGATGTAGGCTTTTGAAATCTTGAAATCTCACCAGCATAGAGGTTGGTATCGTACGGCTCCAGCGGACGCAACCCATAGTCCACCTGCAGGCTGTCCGCCCAAATGTAGTCAATCATAAAATCGTTCCTTTCGTCAGCTTCGTCTTCATCGTTGATCAGGTCAGGGTCTGGGAACTGTGGGTTGTTGTTGATGATGCGGATATCTGGCAATGGAATCATCTTGATCCGCTTCAAGTCATAATCCCGGAAGGTGTAGTTGAAGGTGTAAAAATCCCCTGTCGAAAAATTGGAACAGTCAAACCAAATATAAAGAACAACAAATCAAAGAAGGCTTGTGAGGTTATCCCTTCATCTAGTGACTGATTCTGCTTTGGGGAAATCCACAGGCATGCCTCTTTGTCTGTGGTTTTTAACGTTTTCTTTATGTGTAGTCTTTGCAATATGCCCGGAAATAAATAGAAAAAGAATGACAAATAGAAATGTCAATGGTATACAACAGCATTCCAAATGTGCATGAATCCAAATACACTTGTCTTTTGTTGTAGAAATTTGGATATTTGGAATACTTTTAAATCACAAGTAGGAAAAGCAAAATGTTTTGGCAAGTACACTACATTGAAAAGGAAAAATGAAAGTTCACTTCTATTTTTATTTTTATTCATTTGTTTAACTGCCCAATGCAATGTTAAAATTGAGAAAAACTGTTAGTTTCAGGTAACATAATACAGTTTTGAAACTTCTACAAGTTCAGCTTGTTTTATTTTTTATTCATTTGGTACAGTACTCACGTATAGATAGCAGCTCTGGGTCGTAACCAATTCGGGCAATCTGACTCTGTTGGTTGATGGGTACAATATTTTCGATCACCCACTCGACTGGCGTCAAGTCACGTGCGTCCCCTGTTCAGACACAAAAAGCCAGCCAATTGTCAACGTCGATGACTGGGTTTCATCCGATGAACTTTTCTGACCTGCACCTTATTTTGGCTCAACTTGGTTTACTAACCTTAATGTCCTCATCATTTTGGCAAGGAAAACCTCCAAAATCCTCTACTGTGTAAAAACACAATGGCACACTCCATGTTCTTTTAAGGGGCATTAAATCACATGAGACACAGAGCCAAGGCTCTATCATCTTCAATCTTACAAAATGGTACCAAACCCTCAAGCTGATTTTGAAAAATTTTGGAGGGTTAAGATTAACACGTGGTGTTTATTATCCTTCACAACTACACATGCCAGACCTACGTAAATCATTCATTTTTACCAGTAGCTAGCCTTGGAAAGTGATAAATATTTTGTGACAGTACCACTCTCTCCCAAGTCATTTCTTAAAAAACAAACCTCTGAGCTAGTCTAGACAACCGTCGTTCAAACCTGCAGCTAAGGTGACTATCAATGTTACTCTCCTCTGATTCACTCACCGAGACGCATTAAGTCCCAGTTGCAGTCCACTTCTCTCTCCATTTGGATCCAGTAACGACCGTCTGTCCAGAGAACAGCTCTTCCGTCCTCCCCTGTTACGTCAGTTGTGACGATGGCCAGACCACCTGGTGTGGTTAACAAAAAGGGAACACGGACAAATTTGAATCCCCATACCTTGGGTATTTTGTCTGAGGAATCGTTCTAAGTACCAGCTGCGCTGACCTCTTCGCTGGATATCAAAGATTCTTACAACAATAATACGGATTTATGACGTGCACTTTCTAGGAAATTGATCAATTTTCTAGGTTGGGTCAGGTAACCGAAAACGCAGCTTTTTGGGGGGGCCCAATGTACTTAATAGCTTTTTCTGCTCTAAATTCACGCATGATGACAGCAAAAAAATATAAGCCTTACCTGATCCTTTGAATCCAGTGATAAATTCTAGCCGTTTGTCATGGTCAGCAACAAAATCACTCTAAAATAAAGGCCAAAGAAATGTTTCACCAATCAGTTTGATTGATGCGACTGTTGTCAGTAAAGGGCAAAGCAGAAAATTAACAGACAGGCTAAAACTTCAACAGGTTAATTAGTTTATCACTCAGATTTTTACCAACCCCCTGCACCTCCATACCTGGTGTCGGTCGGTGTAGGGGATAATGTAGCCATCCAGGTCATATCGAATGTGCCTCATTCGCTTCCTGAGGTCTCTCAGACGTTCCGTGGTGTCCGTTGCAGTCGGTGGAAGTTTCTAAATAGGGGACAAAAGATCAGATACAAGCCATATTTGAAATTAAAGTTAATCAAACAGTACAGGATCAGGACACGTTCTAATAAAGAGGTCTATAATGGCCACACCAAATGGATTCACACGTTGGACCTAATCTGATCAAAGTTCTAGAACTTTCCACTCTGCAACCTGACATCCCCACATGGCAGTTGGTATCCACTCTTACCACTGGTATCCGACAGTCCCTAACATCTTCGGTGGCCCGTCTCTCCCTGTGCTTCACTTCATCTGAAAAGGAAGAGCCCGAGCTGCCTCCGAGAGAAACTGGTGCAAAACAAGACGAAGTTAACTTGATGAATCTCATCAAAAAACGAATAGTACTATTTAAATTTGGTTGAGAAATTTCGAGGATTGGGTGCCAAGCAGGACAGAGCGTGTGCCAACACTGGAGCACAAGTGACACAACTACGTACTGTACAGCACATTTTACATAGCATCTAAAACATAAGTGAAAATATGAAATCTGTCACTTTTAGGCCTAATTCCATTTTTACAACACTTACAAACAACCCTCCAGAGCCTAGCCAGGAATTATTAACAACAAAATGTGATCATGCTTGGTTGACAGGCACAGCTGGCAAAACATAAAAAAAAAACTTGCCTACATTTCAGGGCTTGTTGACCCCAAAAAACCCCGTGTCCAGGGTTGCCTCTGACTGGGGGACAGACCCGTGAACAGGGCCCAACGAATACTCCTCCGTCGTATACTGGGCCATGTCCCGATTCATCTGGATTTCTTTCATTCTTTTGCCCCACTTCCACAAAACTGACAGCGGTTTCGTCACTTTCGTCATGTGTCACATCACAGACAATGAGCCGCGCTACCAATGATTTGCCGAAAACAGTGTGTGACTGGACAGGGAACCAGTGAGCCAAGGGCACTGAGTATTAGCTGCGACACAAAACAGCCGTAATTCTCTAGAGTACTTAGATCGACAGGTACTCTCGCAGATCTGAACGATATTCGGAGGTGCTGAAGTCTGGGCACAAACTAGACAGGCTCTCGTACAGGGTACCATTACTTAACCATACAAAGGAGTCTGTACAAGTCAGGCCAAACTTCGTACAAATTGGGAAAACGGCAAAAAAGGCAACATTTTTTCTTCCAAACAAGGAAAAGGCAAGTTTTCTATAATAAGCAACCTAGCAGAAAGTTCACCCTGTAAGTAGTGAACATACCCGTGCAATTTCATATCAAACAGCTTCTTGTTCAACACTGACTGTTGAATGAGGAACTAACTTCACCGTAGGTTTGTAGTAGCACCATGGATGTAGGCATGGATGGGTAGGCTTATCTCGTTGAGCATGTGAGCATGGTGAGGTTCTGAAATAAACCTTTCCGACGTTCGCAATGCATTGTGGGATTGGATGACATACCTGCAATGCATTTTATGCACAACCCTATGGGAGAAGTGTATCTGCAAGATGTTAATCTGTGTCCATTTTATTTCATACTCCAATTCAAGCCACCCCCTTCTGATAAAGTGTTGCATTATTGATTTGGGATGAAGATATTCACAAAATTCAAAGTTTAAAAGCTTGGCAGAAAAGCAAAATTCAGAGAATTCCTTCCAACAATGCAACTTTTTGTCACAGACCGTGCTTTGACTAATTCGTGAATATTAATGTTCTAGTATTAAGACTTACAGCTCATTCATCTCATTTTGACCAGTCACATTCATTTTCAGCCTGCAGAGTGACTGGTGCCCTTAAAAAAAGGCAATTAAGGGTGATTTTTTTCTTACAAATATTTGAAAACGTATTTGAAAATGTTTCTTGCATAATCTGATGATACGCAAGCATCTGTCATGTCTGTAAATTGATGAGCAGATAAATAAAAAAATATTTTGCAGAAAACTGTAACTTGATTTTTGACTGGTTCACTTCCCACATAGGATTGTGCATAAAATGCATGGCTTGCTTGTCATCCACCATGTCCACGCCCATAATGCACTGCTATTGCTAACGCCAAAAAGGTTTATTGCGAAAAAAAATGCTCCAAAAAGAGACACATCCATGGTGCGACCACAAATTTGTCTATTTTACTTGTCAGTCTACCATGAAAAGCTTCAAATCTTAACTTCACCACCACTCAATCACTCACCACCTGTCAACCATGTCAAAACGACCATCAACAGGCAGCCACGCAATATTAGCGACGTTGACGTCAAAGATTCCATCTCTCACCGTTGACCGAATCAAACAGGCACCTCAAATTCTTTCTAATGATGTCAATAATTTAGTTTTCTGGAGTATGTATCCAAGCAGATGTGTTCAAAACTAAGTCTCTCTAGCCTACTTCGAAGTTCGATCACAGACTATCATGAGAGCAAGGAATTGACAAATTGAACAGTTCGTGCTGAATATAAATGGTACAACGCGCACATCGCTTCCTTTGACAACCTTGTTCTCGAGAGATCCCGAATGAGTCATCACCAGCTCCTATTTTATTCACAGAAATCAGATTCGCTATTGTGCATGCAACCGAGGTTGACTTCTTTAACATCTGGTACCCAAGCGATGCAAATGAGTTGCTTACATATTTTATTGTGCGAACCACACTGTACCACATCGTGCCATCAGCAAGGAGGGTAGGTGGAGTTTGTCGAAAAGAATGAATGAAACGGGGGGGGGGGAGTAACTTGGAAATCCTAACATTCAGAATGAAAGAAGTAACGCGTATAGACTATAGGGAAGTTTTAATCTGTAAATGAATCAGTGTTATGCTTGTGCTGACTATACCCACTGTACCCCATCAATTGGACCATGGATCGGCAGAACTGCTTTCCCAGATAACCCGTGTCACAGTGGCTCGCCTATACAGGTTGGGGGGGTGCTTACGGATGAAGAGTTTTTTTAAAAATGTTTGTCTGACTTTTTTTATTCATAACAATTCCTCAGTGCCCTCAAAAGTGACACTACCATTTCGAAAGTGTAAGCACTAGTGTCAAATTGCTATTTTTATGGCTGTGTATCTCCTGGGGGACCCCCCCCGCTTCCGCTATACGCCACGACGGGGTCAAAACTTCGGGGTAGCTAAAAGAGCACTTTCCATATTAATATGCTGTCTCGAGTCAGATACTTGTCTACGACGGGGAAGTAAATATTGCGCACAGTCACTGTAGGTTGCACTACACCAAATACGCGCCCATAGAAAACAGTGCAAAATCGGACCGAAATAGCGCCGCCTGTTGACTTTCGTGAAGAGGCTGACCTCCGTTTTTTTCACTGGAAATCCAAGATTATGGCCAGAAGATCGCTTTTCGTTTCAATTTCATGGGGGGTTAGCCAAGAATTTTTTATTATTTTTTTTTTCGCCTTTCAACGAAGATATCCCCAAAATAGCAATAACACTAAGCGCTCATTTCTGAATGTAACGGCCCACCTGTATCCAAAATAGGTCCGCAATTTTGGGGCTTTTGTGAAAGAAATACCCTTAACTGGAGACCTTAATTTGAGATTTATAGAAACATTTCTATGATGCCTCCTGATTATGGCCTGTCTTATTGTAAAAACCCCGTGGGATCACAAAATATTAATGAGCTCGCTCAGAAATACAACCGTTTGGTGGAATACACCCTGTAATTTTGTCTGCTTAGGCCTACCTCCAACTCCGATCAAGCTCCCAGAACCTTAAAAACCACACAAGAAACTATGGTGCAGTATTAACGACACACATTCTGCCTCTCCCTGGCCTCTTCCAAGGTGACACCACTACACAACGCCAGAGAAAGAGAGAAATGTGTGTCGTAAATAGTACACCATAAAAAACAGTCGTCGACACGAGTGTACAGCTGCGCCATGGGGAGAGCGCACATAATTTTGCGCGCGATGAACTGGCTTGCGTGGTCTTCCTGCACTGCAGTAAATGCGGTAATACCAGCCATTCCAGTGGAGAATGCTAACATGTTAAACGAGAAGTTGCACTTTTCTTTTACATCGTAAGTACACCTGAGTAACTCCAGCGTAATCACCGAGTTCAAAATTGTATCTTGAGGCTACGAGTGATGCATCTAAACTCTGGTGGCTGTTTTGAGGGTTAATACTAGGGTGATTTTGGTAGTTGAGCCATTTTCCGAAATCCCATGCAGGTCACGGTGGTGGTCTACGTTAATTACACTTTGTAAACCTCTATCATGGGGTAGCCGTATTGCTTTTTTACCATTAAAACCAATGTATAAACCAAACTAATGGGCTGGAAGGGAAAATAGTCTGTGCCTTTTTTCAGTGTGTGAATTGTCTTACTGTTGTCAATGAGCGTACAGGGAACCAGACTAGCGTGGCCAGTATCTGATAAAGGTCTATGGTCTAAACTATAAAACTAAAATAACCTAAAGCATCTGATCATTATATTACTTAACTGACAAAAATCTTAAACAAAAGTCCACTTTTGAGTGGCCATAGTCCAAGTAACATACTTGAAATTTGGTTTTCTTTTTGATATTTTGCTTTGTTATTTCTCTCAGGTAGTAAAAGTTAATACTTGCTTTCTAACTATCAATAACAGTGATAGAGGCGATACTTGCTTCTCTGTCTCATTGTTGTGACAGTGGTGACTAGAAAATATGAAAGGGGCCTCATCAACAAGAGGCCATGTAGGCCTACTTGTTCATGTGATAATTGTGGCAAAGGATTGTCGGATAGTAGCCTTCAGGTTTGTTAGAAAGCCTAGAGCAACGAGAAACCATTTGCTCGTGACATTTCGGGGCAAGTGTAGAGACGGCTTTGTAGTTAATCTTACTTCAACAGTTTTCAGCCAACAGTGGTAAGCTGGACCATATATAGTCAACCACATTGTAACCAGGCCTTAGGGCGTTGTTGTATTGCTGGCTATCAATAGCCGTTTGTGCACGGGGAGCCATTATGATGGCAGAGACTAGTGGCAGAATGCGATAACTAAAGTCCTTTGAGTGGAACCTGGGTATTTACATGCTGGTGGCCAAAGTGTAGTGGCTAACTTATCCTCACTGGTGAAAGGACATTTGAAGACTGGCACCCTGCAAGCTTATTTCAGAGGCTCAGATATGATGAATGAAAACATATTCTGAATTTGTTGTAAGTCTTGAAAAGACAGTACCGGTACGGCTGATTTATTGGAAAATTTCATCCTCTTCATAAGCTCTTAAAAGTAATTACACGTAGTATATTCGTAACACTTTATGTTCAGTGAACCGACCAGTCATTTTAACATATTTTAGGCAAGATTTTGGTTGAACTGTTCCATATTTTTTAGATTTTGCTGGTCTCAATTTGCTTTTGAGTCTTTTTTTTAGTTCAAAGTAATAAGCAAGCATCCAACGCTTATAAGAACTTTTCCATTGAGTTAATTTTGAATTCACAATTAGACGAGGAAATATGAACTGAAATACATCTTCCCTGGATGACATCACAGCAACAGCGCCCTCAGTTGTCCAGGAGAATATGGGCAATTGTCAGTGTTTTAAAAATTGCAGTTTTCAGTAACTCAAAAAAGTATGTCAAATAATGTTCACACTTTAGAGAAGAGTATAAAATTGAAGAAAAGTTGGGCTAAAAGAAAAATTCATTGCTGCTACACTTTAATAGAACTAGCTTTTTAAAGTAAACGGTACGCTTTACCCTCACACTCTCCCCTATATACACTTCTACACATTGATCAAGGTCATTAACCGTAAGTCAGTCTGTTTCTGATGGGGTTATCGCTATTTTTTCAAGGTGTGACTGACAACTGTCTGTTCACTGTCATTTTGACTGCAAAAGGTAATCCACCTCCAGCAGAAGAATTCCCTCATCGGTTGAAAACAGCTGCGTTGTTGGTTGCGTTTCCTAGTCGTTCGTGATCCAGCGATGCGCAGTTAGTTCCAAAGGAGCTTTTGTTGCTAAGGAAATAGCACCCTCTTTTGGTCCAGCTCGAGACCCACAGAGGTATTTGTTTGGAGGGCCATCCTTTCCCTGATGCACTGTGGTTCTTGTGATATTCAATCCACTATAGGAATTTTGGTCTCAGGGAATTTCTTGTTGGTCGCTGGACTTGTTGACTTGTCTGACGATCTGTTTATCTTGAGTTGGCTTCGATGGAGCCGTGGGATGTCTGAGGTTTGGCCGTATCTCTTGCAGTGCGATCTGGGTTTCTGTGATGTCTTGGCTACTTGGGCAGCAGCAGCGCTTTGGATTTAGGAAAGGCAATGCCTCCACAAGAGCTGCCCGGTAGTCCGAATTCACTCCGCTGTATACCAAAGGATCCATGGAACAGCTGAGCAAGGAAAGGATGAAAACGACCAGAAAGAAATCGATCCATGAATGATTTAGTTTGATCAAGCTTGAGTCGGGGAGGGTCGACCACCTTATGACGGCATACATGATGGTTTCAATGATAGACGTGATGTTGAAGGCGAAAAACAAGGTCGTGTTCACTACCAGCATAGCAATTACTCTTCGTAAGCGCTGTTGTTCATCACCTGAAGAGATGATCCTTGGTTGTTGGCGTAGTTTCTTGACAATGCGGCCATACAGGGTTGTGGTGATGACCAAACCGACAGTGTAGTAGATTGAAGCTGTAACGTTAGCAATGTCATTTCCAAGGTCTCCTCCCCACTGATATAATGCAGTCGCTCCACATCCTACAATGACGACGGTTATCCACAAGACTGCTGAAATCTTGATGGCTCTGCATTTGCCTGCAGTGGCACGGAATACCAATGGACGACAAATAGCAAAATACCTCTCAAAAGCCAGAGCAACCACAAAGAAGTATGACGCCAATGTTCCAAAGCTGCTCAGTAAAACCAGTGTCACGTCAAACGCCTCGCCTCTTTTCCGCCACATCGAAAGGAGGGAACATACTAAAATGATAGAATCCGCCACAGACAAACTGCCCAAGTAGACGTTCACGATGGAGTGCATAGATTTGATGCGGACTACAACGTACAGGAAAATCCCATTCATTAACAGACCAATGGGTGCCATATACTTAGTAACTTCACCTTGAATGATAGTGTTGGCCTCCTCATGGCGTAGAATATCTTCTCCCTGGCAGTCACCCACGATATTTATAACAAAATTTACATTAGCGACACTGGGTGTTGAATTTGCCATTGCGTGTGTGTTGAAGAATCGAGGAGGATCTTTTATAAACCTCTTGCGACAGATCATGTGCATGCGATTCAATCTTCTGTCCTTTAGGCTCTTGGAACTCGGGCATTATGCATGCTGGTGGGCATGTGCATGCAACCTATAAACGTTGTACATGCACATGTCGCTGTAATTTGAGGATCTCTCTGAAAGTGAAATATAGTTTATAATTTATTTGTTCTTGTCTACGATTAAATATAGAGGGTAACCAGAAGCGAGTGAAATTGAAAGCTGCAATCCTCGAACGACCAAAAATAGATGAACAAAAGAAATACATGTAAAAGGATATCACATTCTGAGGTACAGGAAACCGACAAAGCTTATCAACGAACAAGAGAGTCACACGACTTCACAGAACAGAGATGGTGATGATGATATCACATGATAAGTGGTCTAAACCTTGTACACTGTAGTAGTTTTCAAATACATGTACCAATTGTCCAATGAAAGCAGTTATCATTAAGCCAGTGCCATAGCCCTTTGTTTTGTGGATACTGGGTATTTGCAGATGCTTAGGGCACGCCTTCATGTCTGTTTTCTCTTTGTTTGTCTTGGTATACCCCTTGTCTACTTGTTATAACAGGAATAAACAAAATGGATGGAATAAAACAGTAATTTCAGAAATACGGGGATTAATTTGTAATTGCTGCATGAGTGAAATTTATTTCTTTGACATAAGTGTTTCCCTTTGTTACAGAGTTTCAGATTCTACAAATCAATATCCAAATCAATACTTATGTGCAGTGTGATTATTACGTACTTCAACCAGCGTGATTTCATGGCTTATTTTCTGGAGTACGTAAAAAACCATTTGAAACAAGATATGGGACGGAGAGAACCCCCCGCCTTTGTCTTTGCCTTTTTCTACAGTGTGTATAGGGATTGGACAGGTAAGAGGGGTACCCCTCCGTCCCATATCTTGCCTGGTATAAAAAAAACATCGTATTTTAATTCAAAAGTACTTGTACCATTAAGTGTGCTAATTAACTTTACTTTGGTGAGTAGGTAAAAAATCGAACTCCAACTTATTTGACAAGCAAAATTGTCATTTCAATGACAGAACAAATCTCACAGTCTCCTGGTGGTAAAGTGTTTAAATCTGAAATATCGTGTATTCTGCTAGTTTATAGTCGGATGAATGCTGCTCGTCTCGGCACAAGTGAAGTATTTAGAAAAGTTCCTCAGGCTTCATATTACGTTCATGCTGAATTTAGTCTAGATCTAAGAAAAGCAGTTTACTTACCGACATTAACATTTGAGGAGTTGTATATCTCTGATGGTAGGTTTCCATAAAAACCGTAAATCGTTTCACAGAACTAATAACTAAACATAAGGTATTCATTCTTTCATTCATTTTGATTTTACCGATTGCCTTAAATCTTTCTGCTTACACAATAAAATTTCATTTAAACAATTTGTTAGACTTTTGTAGTAAAGTAATGTACCGGTATATACAGAATAAACTAATCAGCGGTAATTACTAAGGCAATGACAATTTCAAAAGGGGATCTCTTTAAAGTTGGTGACAGATGCTGTTATTCAAACTTTCCAACAAATAGCAAAGTCCACCATTCTCAAAATAAGTATCTTTTTTATTTTCTAATCATGCGTACATGTACAAAGTATCAGAAAATAGTAAAGGCCTATTCAAACGCCATAGTCGAGTTCCCCGTTTTCTGAGTTACTAATGCTAAAGTTCTACATTGATACGATTTTGAAATGGATGGTACAAATAAACAAGGTCATGAAGAGTTTTAGAATGTCACTTTCAAAGAAACTTGCAGACAATCTTTTCAGTGATCTCAATCTTATCAGCTCTACCAAACGGAGTAGAGCGTACCCAGCAGCAACGTCATCAAGATGGCGACCAGACTAGGAGTGGTTCTCTGCCCGCTGTTTCCCGTGCCCAGCTTAAAAGTGTACTCCACAGGTTCGGTCTTGCTCATCATCCAAGCCTTACCGGCTTCGGTCAGCTCACTCCGAGGCCCGATTTCGTCGCGTACCCTCTTATTGTAATTGTTGTAATACTCCAGCTGTGTAGATATGCAAAAAGGGTGTGAAAATTACTCAGTTATCTTTCAATACGGGCTATTCACAATAGTGCTCCTCCAAGAGTTTGCAACGCGTTGGCCAATCACAACGCGCGAAATCTGTCAAAATGCGCATTAGTTTCGCGCACTGTGATTGGTCAACGCGTTGCAAACTCTTTGAAGTGCACTAGGCCTATTGTGAATCGCCTGTATTGTCATGTGTTTAAAGAGCACCTCTAAGGAAAACACATTTTCTCTGATTATCTCTATTCAAATAAAAATGGAAGCATCCAAATCGAATGCAGTGTCATTTGTCTTCAGAGCTTAACTGTAGCAAGCTAAAAACGCTTTTTTTCTGTTCATGCCAAGATGCGAATTCTGTATGTAGATTACGTCATTCTGATAAAACGAGGGAAATCCTCGCCCTGTGTCCGCAGTGGATAAGCCCTGTGCGTGCCAAACAATGGCTACATGCATAGTTCGGCATGCACAAAAAGAAGTTTGGAATTGTGACGCATCCACGCAGGACCTTAATAGCCGCATTGCTGTTGCGCATGGACAATACACACTGTCAACCATCTTCTGTGGAATAGACCAAGCAGCCCTGTATTCCCATGAAGGAAAAAACAAACCCACAATGCATCCTCTTGCGCACACTCTTCATGAAGCTGGTTAACGCACGTACACCAAACATTTGACGGACGTCAAAGTTGGGCAGTCGTGACATTGATTGATCAAACCGTCAAGGGGTGGGGCTTAATATTGGTTAACGACATGTGTTTGTATTTTCGTACGTAAACACTACCTGTTTGTTGTTAAACATGCTGAAGTCAATAAGGTTGGGTTCCAGAGGTACAAGAGAGATCATCTTAAATGTCATATACTGGTGGCCCCCAAAGTCGTGCTGAAAGGAAAAATAACTTTTCTGGCTGATTAATCCAAAAAGTAAAGCTTATATTTCAAAAATCAAATGTTAGTAATGCATGCAATCAAAAAGGAGGTGAGGGTTCAGGATGAACTTTAAAGTAACCCATAAAATTGTAAGAAAAAGAATAATGTCATGCATATGGATTTCTATTTACAAATATTGATTTATATGAAAGTTACATCAAAATCGTATACGTGGTGTGAGGACAACTCCGTTGATTCGGCTTTTGAAAATTCTCAATGATGAAAATATTTCCCATTTGTGATGTGAACCACATTTGCCCGTGCATTGCTTCTTTTTAAGTTGGCCAAAATAATAAAACCAGAATCGCTTGCTTTCACCGTAAACCAATGATCTGCTGCAATACTTCTAAAGACGTGCATCATATCAAATTGGCAGTACTTGGACTGCACTGGGGTGGCGTTCAACATTTTGTTTAACCCAAAATCTCAAAAAATCCCTTCAAGACTGACTACTTCATTACCTCAACATCGGCCGGAACAGTTCTGACAATATTCTCAATACGGATTCCGAATGAACCATCTTCATAGTAGCCAGGCTCTGTTGTCATTAGAAAGAAACAATTTCGTGATTTAATGTCTTGAGGAGAAAAACAACAAATGATTGGAACACTTTTTCAAGGCGGATAATGAATAGCTGTAGCTGATTTTGTTCCCTTCAAATAATTTCTTCTTAACGAATAAACGAATGGTCATGTGGCGCTTGCCAGTATTTCAGAAAATACTAGATTCGTTCCCAAAAAGTAAAAACGGAGATTTAAGGCTTTTTTCACCAACAACATTCTGAATGAATCGCCATAGATTTGGCCGCTGTAATAAGTACTTTTTTCGTGGTAAATGACAGCAGTGCTGAGATGGGCATCGATACGTACACTACATGACGATGACCTTTTTCTTTCATGACTGATTTTTATTTCAGAAATCTGGTCACACTCAATATCTCAAGCATTAATCTGTGATCATCACCAACCAGGAGAACCCAAACAGCAGCATCTGGATTCAGGTATGACATATTTTAAAACTTCTTGGATGACCCCCTGAATTTCAAACAGGCATCACATAGTAGTATATTTATTTTGGCTTTATGTGACCATTTAATTCTGCTCTGTACATCGGCAGTACGTGGAAGGCAATTGTCTCTGTCCCTGGTTTGGACTGATTTTTATCCTCCTGACTTCCAAGTTGTTTGCTCGGCATTGTACTAAGTCGTCTTTTGTTGCTGGAACATAGAACTACATGTTATTTTGCTATCAACCAAAACCCAAGCGGTTTTGATATCAGAGACACACCCTGAGACAGGGTCAATAGCCGAGTACACAGGCTTTGCGTGGTAGCCATCTTGCAGGGCAGTTTCTGTTCTACAGGGCAACCTCTTTTGTGCATACCCTATGGAACAAAAGCACTGACCTGCAAGATGGCAGCCATGCAAACCCTCTAATTGGGAAACCCCAAAATTTGCAATTGATTTGGGTCCTCACTTGATGTACTCATCCTATACCCATAACAGCACCGTTCTCGATCAGATGTGAACAACTTAAAGTAAACGAATCGGCATTCTTAAAATGGCAAAGTTACAGTTAGCATGCGAAGCATTAGTGTGCAACTCGGGGAGATGAAATGTGATTACAAATGAAATGAGGTTAATACATGCTTTCATGCCATGTTTAAATGGAAACCTGCTGGTTCTGACAACAGTGCAAATCTTTTGCCTGTCAGGGAGAATTTGTATATAGCCTGCCGTCTACAACTGTGGCTCAAGGTTAAGAACCTTGAATGCAAGTCGATCATGCAGATAGCGGTGTGTCAAGCTAACGGAGGAAATTATTCACAGCCTCTTCAACAAAAAGCTTTTTTTCTATACAGTTGCACAACTTGTCAAGATGCCCATGTTTAAGAAGCATACAAACAAGCAACTAATTAGTTTGAAGATGCTCTTTTGAAATGAAGTTAAAGTACAAACCTGAATATCCTGTGAACTCGTAAAAACACAGAATGCTTTTCTGGTACTTTAAACAATATAGTTACGTAAAAATTACTCCACAGAAACACATTAAAATTCCTTAAAAGATCAGAAAACGGGTGTAATTTTTAGTCGGCTTTTTGATTATAAACTTACAACAAATTCTCCAGTTTACTGCTTTTGAGATTGTCTTTTGTCTTTTCAAATAAACATTGTGGTCCAAAATTTGCCCCGAATTTCTGAACAGTTTCAGAAACAGAGAAATCCAGCAAAGTGGGTCCTTTTATTGCAGAAGTGTGTAGAGGGGCTCACGCTTTGTTTTCGTTACTTGGAAAATAACGTGCCTGAATTTGTCAAAAAGATTCCGACCTAAGATCGTGTAGCGCCGAAGCCACAAGATAGATAATTCTGTCCAAAAGATGTAATTACCATAAGCACCTTTGAGCAAGCAATACGCCTGCGCAGTTTACAGTAATGCTTGGGCGCAAGCTTAACAGATGCACGTGGCTGCCGCGGCGCCTGCGCCTGTGTATTAATGTGCATTGCGCAGGCGTATCCCTTGCTCCAATGGCACCCGTGCGATTACAACGTTTTACCACGG